TCATACACATGAAATAAAATAAATCGTTAATTAAAAAAACAAACCCAGTATAATATTTGTTTTGGAATTTTTTGTTTTTCTTTTTGAGACAAGATCTCACTGTGTACCCATCTATGTCTTGGAACTTGATCTGTTTATCAGGTTGCCCTTGAACTCAGAGATCTGTGTGCCTCTGCCTCCTGAGTGCTGGGATTAAAGGCACTTACCACCATACACGGAAATATTTGACTCTTGAAAGGATATCTGGGAAGAGCTGAAAGCAATCTTTCAATATCTTTAAAAGTTCTAAGAAGGGAAAAAAATTTTAAAAAAAGTTCTAAGAAGGGGAGGCAGAAGCAGGTGGATATCTATGAGTTTAAGGCCAGCCTGGTCTATATAGTGAGTTCTTGGACAGCCAAGGCTACATAGAGCACCCTCTGTCTCAAAAAACCAATAAAATAAAGTAAAGTAAATAAAAGCTCCAAGAAGGAGTGGGCAGTGGTAAGTGTGAACTAGAGGAACAATGGTATTGATAAAGTCCTAGTTCTTCATGTAAGCGTGTGGGCATGCATGATGTGGGTTTGGAAGTCAGAGTACAACTTGTAGCAGTCCGTTCTCTCCATCCACCCTTCCACCATGTGTGTCCTGGGGACTTGGCAGCAAGTGCTTTACAAGTCACTCCACACACACACATGTTCCTTTTTTGGAGGGGACAGGGTCTCACTGTACAGCCCTGGCTGGCCTGGAACTTTCTATGTACAAATGCTAGCTTCAAATTCATAGAGATATTCCTGATTCTGCCTCCTAAGAACCAGGAATAAAGGCATGTGCCATCATGACTAGTCTGGTTCCTATATTAAGATATACATATATGCCTTAATAAGATACACACACACACACACACACACACACACACACACACACACACACACGACATAAATGCCATTGGGGGTTTTGTTTTCTTGTGTGTGTTTTGAGAGTGAGTCTCAGCATTTAGCCCAGGCTAGCCTCAAACTTACTTTCTTAAATTTATTGGTTTTTTTTTTAAGACTTATTGATTTTTGTTTTATGTATGTGGGTGGTTTGCCTACCTGTATGTCTATGCATCATGTGTCCATGCAGTGCTTATGGAGTCCAGAAGAGGGCACCAGATTCCTTGAAACTGGAGTTAGTTGTGCGCCACCCTGTAGATGCTGAGACTTGAACCCTGGTCCTATGGAAGAGCAGCAAGTGTGCTTAACCACTGAACTGTCTTTCCAGCCCCCAGCTTTTCTCCTCTTGCCTTGGTCTTCCAAGTGCTATGATTACAAGCTCACAGCACTGCCCCTGCTGAGTCTCAAACTGTCAATTGAGCTATTTAAACTGAAGCATTTCTCCATCCCAGATGGAAAAGCCTGAGGCTTAAGACCTCCATGTGTGTGCTGTGGTTTGTGCATGCCCACAAACGTGCACATACACACAAAAATAAGTGCAATTTTTCTTAAATTTAAAAAAATTACTTCAGATAAAGCCCCATCAACAGGACAATGAATACAGAAAAGCTGACCATGCTTTTTAGGAACTGCAATGGGACATATATATGGTGAATGCTCATTAACTTAAGAGTTGGTTGTTAGGCATTAATGTATTCTCCTGGATCACTTGTTCTTATCCTTTTTCTGAGAAAAGATCTCATGTAGCCCAGGCTGGATTTGTTTCTGAGCTTCCTAGCTCTACCTCCCAAATGATAAGGCATTTGACATGTGCCATCAAGCCCTGTTTGTGTTACCGGGGGTCTATTTAACCCAGAGTGTGTACATGCTGGACAAGCACTCTGCTGATGGAGTGAAATCTCCAGCCTCTGGACCGATTGCTTCTTGTAACCAGCTCTTTCTTCCTTCCTTCCTTCCTTCCTTCCTTCCTTCCTTCCTTCCTTCCTTCCTTCCTTCCTTCCTTCCTTCTTTCCTTCCTTCTTTCCCAGCATAGGCCTGCAGCAGTCTGGCTTTCAACCTTACTCCTTCACTGTGCCTGCAAAGTAGATAAAAAAAATGAAGTAGCTTCTGAGTCAAGAGATCCTTTTCATGCCTGTTACTCCTTGATGCTCTGTAACCTTGCTCTCTCACTGATCCACCTGATTGTAGCAGATTTACACTTCATCTCCTTGCAAGGACACATGGCAGACTTTTGACATGTAGTATGAAACAGATGTCTGTGAGGCAGCATGAAGAGTTATGTCCATGTACTTTATGCTGTAGTGGTGGTTTAGCCCTGCCATTAGAACCAGGTTTCCAGTTCACGTCCAAGCCTGTCCTGTTCTATCTGGTTTGAACTTTGATAAGTTCCTCCCTCCCTCCCTTCTTCTCTCCCTCCCTCCCTCCTCCTTCCTACATTCCTCTTTTCTCACCAGGGTTTCACCATGCATCCCAGGCTGGCCATGAACTCATTATGTATCCTAGGCTTGCCTTGAACTTACATCAGTCCTCCTGGCCCAGCCTCCCAAGTGATGAGAGCAGCAGCAGTGTTCCCAGGCCCAGCTAGCTACAAGAGCATCTTAATCACTTACAAGGGAAATATCTTGCTTCTCTTTTAAATTACGAGTTTAGAAGGTTTTTCTTGTTTGTTTTCCAAAACTCACTTTATTAAAGACGTTAGCAAATCTGAAGAATTACAACCATTTCTGTTTTGGTTTATGTGCATTTCTACCGCTCTTGCAGAGGACTGGAGCTTGGCTTCCAGCACTCCATATTAGATGGTTCACAACCACCTGTAACTCCAGCTCGAGGGCATCTGATGTCCTCTTCTGGCCTTGGTGGACAGTGATTGGTTCTATCTGTCTGTCTGCCTGCCTGCCTGCCTGTCTGTCTGTTTATCTATCTATCTATCTATCTATCTATCTATCTATCTATCTATCTATCTATCTATCTTGAGGTAAGGTCTTACCTGTAGCCCCAATAGGGCTAGAACTTTTTATGTTGTCCAAGCTAACTTCATGCCAATCATCCTGCCTCAACTTTTCAAGATCTGGGATTACAGGCATGAGCTACCACACCCAGCCCTGAAAGTCTGCTAATAATCTGATAGCAAGATTAAAACCCATGATAGTGCCAGATTTGCTCTTTTCCTATTTTCTTTCTGGTGGTGTTGAGGATGGTCAAATTCTTTTTTTAAAAAATAGAATATCTTTTATTTATTCTTTGATGATTCATACGTGAAAACAATGTATCTTTACTGTAGGTGTAGCCCAGGTTGGCCTTGCCTTAGACTCACAATCCTCCTGGTTCTGCTTCTTCAGCACATCCTGCAGACATGAGACAAATTCTTTATGTAATAACCTCAACCCTCCTTTTTAATAATTAAGGGTGGCTAGTTGGTGGTAGTGCACACCTTTAATCCCACCACTGGGAGACAGAGGAAGGCAGATCTCTGAATTTGAGGCCAGCCTTACCTCCAGAGTGAGTTCCAGGCCAGCCAGGGCTACACAGAGAAAGCTTGTCTCTGGTACGATAGCTGAGAAAAAAATGCTTGCCTCTAAGCACATAGTAGAAGGAAAGAATACACTCTAGAAAGTTCTTCAACTTCTACATGAGTGGTGACATGTGTGGATCATACACATACCCATGAATACACACAAAACAAACATATTCAATATCAAATGCTTAAAAATTCACTGACTTCTTTTAAAAAAAAAGCTATTCCTTGAGTTTCATACATGCATACAATGCATTTCAATTATATTTGCCCTCTATAAATTACATTAAAGATTGAGAAAGGAATGAACATTTTCATTTTGAAATAAATGGTATTTTACATTTGCTTTTATAACCTTAAATGGATATTGCTCATAAAACATACTTTTATAAGCATTAAATTAAAACAACATACAACAGTAGCAATTAACAGTCTTTCCCCTTAATTTCAATAGAATTGATGAATCAAGTATTTTCTCTTTACTCTGAAAAGATAATCAATGCAGTTAATCTTCTTCTCCTCCTTTCTGTTTTGGTGGTTTGTTTTGTTTTGGTTTTTTAAGACAGGGTTTCTAGACCAGGCTGGCCTTGAACTCACAGAGATACTTCAGCCTCTGTCTCCTGAGTGCTGGGATCAAAGGCATGTGCCACTGCCGCCCAGCTCTTTCTACCTTTTTTATTTTTGTTTTTTGGAAACAAGTATATATAACAAATAAATAAATCTCTGTGTAGCCTTCGCTGTTCTGGAACTCACTCTGTAGACCAGGGTGACTTCGAACTCAAGAGATCCACCTTCCTCTGCCTCCTGAGTTTTGGGATTAAAGGAGTATGCCACCATGCCCAACCTTCTATTGATTGATGGATGGATGGATGGATGAATGGATTGATTGAGACAGGACCTGCTGTAGCCCAGGCAGGTCTTAAGTTCCCGAGTCTCCTGCCTTAGCCTCTACAGAGCTAGGACTAAAAGTATGTGCCACCACACTCAGCCAAACTTCCAGTGGTATTTCCTTTAAACAGGTCTCCTGTAGCACAGGATGTCCTCAAACAGTGTAGCCTGAAGTAACCTTGAACTGTGGATCCTCCTGCCTCTCCTGCTCCACATGAGTCTGATGGCATGTGTGGACCATACACACACCAGTGTTGGGATGCTAGGTGTTTTGCCAACATTTTTCATTTAATTCGGTGTTGGTAATCAAACTAGGGCTTTGCTCACAATAGGCAAGCTCTCTACTAATGGAGCTACATCCTTAAAAATGTAGTTTTCTGGGGGCTGGAGAGATGGCTCAGCAGTTAAGAGCACTGGCTGCTCCTCCAGAGGTCCTGAGTTCAATTCCCAGCAACCACATGGTGGCTCACAACCATCCATAGTGAGAAGTGGTGCCCTCTTCTGGAGTGCAGGCATACATGCAGACGGGACACTGTATATATAACAAATAAATAAATCTTAAAAACCAAACCAACCAAACAAGAAAAACCCCTGCTATTACACTTTTTTTTTTTTAAAGTAGTTTTCTTGAGCCAGTGAGACGGCTTAGCAGGTGAAGGAGCTGTGGCCAAGGCTGACAACTTTTCTTTGATCCCCAGGCCCCACATGGTAGAAGGAAACTGGCTTTTGGAAGCTGTCCTCTGAGCTCCACACAATACCATCACACGGAGGCGCCCGTCCACACTCAATAAACACATAAATGTAATATTAGAGAAGTGGTTTTCTTTTTAATCCATGTAAGAAGAATAATGTGCAATTAAAATCACTGACGTGTACACGCCATTAAAGGAGAAACAAAACTGGGCGAATGAAAAGGAGGGTGAAGGGAGAGAAAGGGGAGGGTACACGTGTGCAAACATAGTCGATACATATAATGTACATGCGTGTAAGTACAGTCAACGTACATGATGTACATGTGTAAATATAGTCAACGTACATGACACACTTGTAGGTAAATATCTTTTTGAAACCCATCACAGTATAATGAATATATGCCAATAAAATAATGTGTAGAAGATGAGGGATTGTTATACGGACAAGTGAGTGTGCTCCAACCTAGTCTGTTTTCCATTTATATTACTTTCTTGTCAAAGAAAATCCAGGAGGAACCGTCTCAAGAGCCTAGAAGCCATCCGAGGTACTTTGCAACAACATCCGTTTGCGCAGGAGCTGCCACACTGTCGCCAGGCTGAGGTGGTTTTGGGATGGGTGGACATCTTTGCTTTCGCTCTTCTTCTGGTGGAACCAACGGAATCAGAGATTTTTCTATTTGGGAGAAAGAAAGGCAGTACAGTAAGAACGGCTGGTCAACACGTTCCTTTCCCTATGCTTAACTTTTACTTATTTTCTTAAGTTATTTTTAACTTTTTTTGTGTTTTATGTGTGTGGGTGTTCTGCCAGCATGGATGTCTGTGCACATGTGTGCAGTGCCTGTGGAGGCCGGAACGGGACATTACATCCCCTGGGAGGGAGGTTGCAGGTGGCTATGAGCCAGCTCTGGTCCCCTCAAGGACAAGCAGTCCTCTTAACTCCTGAGCCATCTCCTCAGCCCCTGCAGGTGTTAAGTTAGCAAGCAATCATCAAAGTTGATTTCACCGAGGGAGAAGGTGGAAAAGTGGAAGGCGGGGGTGCTCCCCAGAGCAGAGGGTGGACTGAGCTGGGGGCGGGGAGTACTCCCCAGAGTAGAGGGTGGACTGAGCCGGGGGCGGGGGGGGGGGGTACTCCCCAGAGCAGAGAGGGTGGACTGAGCCGGGGGCGGGGGGTACTCCCCAGAGCAGAGAGGGTGGACTGAGCCGGGGGCGGGGGTGTTCCCCAGAGCAGAGGGTGGACTGAGCCGGGGGCGGGGGTGTTCCCCAGAGCAGAGGGTGGACTGAGCTGGGGGCGGGGAGTACTCCCCAGAGTAGAGGGTGGACTGAGCCGGGGGCGGGGGTGTTCCCCAGAGCAGAGGGTGGACTGAGCTGGGGGCGGGGAGTACTCCCCAGAGTAGAGGGTGGACTGAGCCGGGGGTGGGGGGTACTCCCCAGAGCAGAGAGGGTGGACTGAGCCGGGGGTGGGGGTGTTCCCCAGAGCAGAGGGTGAACTGAGCCGGGGGCGGGGGTGGGTGGACTGAGCCCGAGGCAAAGGCCTCGCGTCTAATTTTTCTTCGACTTCTCTTCCTTTCTCTTCTGAGTCCTGAGCCTGGTGCTGTGGCCCACGCCTTTAATTCCAAGAAGGCGATGCTGGACCAAGAGTCCGCTTCCGTTTTAGCTTCTGACTTTCATGTCAAGCACACTCTCTCTTCCTCCTCACAGTCTCCAGCAACAGGCTGCTCATTCATCCCGTGGTTGTCCCCATACCATGTGAGAACACTGGGTAGAGTGGCGGACACTTATAATCCCAGCCCTGAGGAAGCGGGGACAGGAGGATCCCAGGGGCTTCTGCTAGCCTATCTCACCCAATTGCCAACTCAAAGGAGATGGACAGTGTTCCTGAAGATGACACTCAAGGTCCTTCTCCAACCTCCACATGTCCACGTCAGCATGTGTTTGTGCACCTGCATACACAAACACATACACACCATCACACATATACACACCCTGTTTTAAAAGTGTGTGTGTGTGTGTGTGTGTGTGTGTGTGTGTGTGTGTGTGTGTGTGCATGTGTGTGTTTAAGCCTAATCAAGGTACAGTAGTAATCTTTCTGGGCATTGTGACACCTTCAGTCTCCAACTCAGAAGGCAAGCAGATCTCTGTGAGTTCGAGGCCAGCCTGGTCTACATAAGTGAGTTTAAGGTCAGCCAGGCCTATCTATGTAGAAAGACCCTGTCTTTTTTTTTTTTTTTTTTTTTTTTTTTTTTTTTTTTTTTTTTTTTTTTTTTTTTTTGGTTTTTTTCGAGACAGGGTTTCTCTGTGTAGCTTTGCGCCTTTTCCTGGAACTCACTTGGTAGCCCAGGCTGGCCTCGAACTCACAGAGATCCGCCTGGCTCTGCCTCCCGAGTGCTGGGATTAAAGGCGTGCGCCACCACCGCCCGGCTGACCCTGTCTTAATAACAAGAAAAATAAAAAAAAGAAAGGAAGAAAGAAAGAAAGAAAGAAAGAAAGGAAGGAAGGAAGGAAGGAAGAAAGAAAGAAAGAAAGAAAGAAAGAAAGAAAGAAAGAAAGAAAGAAAGAAAGAAAGAAAGGAAGGAAGAAAGAAAGGAAGAAAGAAAGAAAGGGGTGGTGGAGGGAGGAAGGAAGGAAGGAAGGAAGGAAGGAAGGAAGGAAGGAAGTTGTGAACATTCAGCTGTTTCTCTCTGCTCAGAGCACTTTATCATTCCTTACTGTACCAGCACAGTCCCTGTGTCTCTTCCAAAGTATGAAGTTCAACTACTAAGGACATTTTTTTTTAATTTAATAATCTTGGTTTGCTCCACTATCAATCTCAATTGTTTCTTTTAATGTTTTGGAGTTAGATTTCTGGTGTTTTTGTTTTGTTTTGTTTTTATCATCTAAAACAGGCATTTACTGAAGACTGACAGAACGTTATCGGAATGAAGTGTTAATTTTTAAAAAAATATTTTATTTTACATGTGTGTGTACGAGTGTGTCTGTGAATGTGTGTCTGTGTGAATGTGTGTGTGTGTATGTGATCTAGTGTTTGGGGAAGCTGGAAGACTTCAGATGCCCTGGAGCTTGAGTTACCAAGGGTTGTGGACCACAAGATGCAGACGCTGGACAAGGATCTGGGGTCTGGCAACAGCAGCGACTGTTCTTACCCCTGAGGAGCAAATTCTCCACCCCTAAAAAGGTTCATTTTGAGTGTTCCATTCACTAGACAAAATGGTCTCTTGGTATCTTTTGTTTTTAAAAAAGTTGCATTTATCTTTTATTTATGAATTTATGGTGGGTCTGTACACATGTGTGAGAGTCAGAGGATGACCTGTAGGACCCTGTTCAGGACTGAACTCTGGCCATCAGGTCTTTACCCACTGAGCCATCTCAAGGGCAGAGAGTGTACAGATACACTCCAGCTTGCAAGGTAGAAAGCCTCTGCTCAGGGGCCAGAGGACCAGATTAGACGAGGAGGTGTTTTGTCCTGGAACCTGGGAAAGGGCTTTGTGTGTGTTTGTTTCTCTTAGACTGAGCCTCACCAGTTCACTATGTAGCCTAGGCTGGCCTCAAACTCCCAATCCCGTCTTGGCCTCTTGAGTAAGAATTACCACATCTGGGTTAGGTTTGTTTGTTGTTGTTTTGAGACAGGCCTTGAACTCTCTATGTAGACCAGGCTGGCCTCAAAAGTCAGAGATCAGCCTGCCTCTGCTTCCTGAGAGCTGGATTAAAAGTGTGTAACACAGCCGGGCGGTGGTGGCGCACGCCTTTAATCCCAGCACTCGGGAGGCAGAGCCAGGCGGATCTCTGTGAGTTTGAGGCCAGCCTGGGCTACCAAGTGAGTTCCAGGAAAGGCGCAAAGCTACAAAGAGAAACCCTGTCTCAAAAAACCAAAAAAAAAAAGTGTGTAACACAATGCCTGTCTTTACCCTCTCTCCCTGCTTTCTCTGTCTCTGTCTCTGTCTCTCTCTCTCTCTCTCTCTCTCTCTCTCTCTCTCTCTGTCTCTCTCTGTCATTCTTTCTTTCTATTAGATATATCTTTTGTAGCCCAGGCTGGCCTCAAACTCCTTATGTACCTAATGCTGACCTTGAACTATGGATCTCCATGTCTCTACCTCCCAAATTTGGGATTACAGGCCTATGGCACTGCCATGACCAACAGGAAGGGATTTTAATCGACGAGTCAATTGACTAAACTCTTCTGTGAAATCAGAAATAGAAGTTTGGTGCACCATACTTCATGCCTCTAATCCAGCCATGTTGAATGCAGAGGTGGGATGGATGCAATTTCTAGTCAGCCTAACCTAGTGAGTTCCAGGCCAACCAGAACTACGAAAGGAGACCCTGTCTGAAACAAAATTCAGAACAACACACCAAGCAAACACAAGATTGAAAACACGCCAAATTCATTTAGAAAGAGAGATGACTGATGGCCAGGTACCATTTTTCATTTTGTCTATGCTGGGGGGCACATGGGTAGGGGCCAGAGGACAACTTGAGGGAATCTGTTCTCTCCTTCCTCCCCTCACGGGTCTCACCTGCTGAGCATCTCACTGGTCCAGTGATGACCATTTACAGGGAATGTAAACAGATGAGAGCAGGCTGTAAATGAGTGAACTGGAAAGGATGACTGCCGAGCAGTCATGAGATGCTGAGGCACACAAGCGTGCGGATGCATTTGCTTGAGGATGTAGGCTTGTCAGCACTTCAACCTCCCTGCTCACATCCAGCCCAGAGAAAAAGAGGCTCAGGCACCTGTGGAAAGGTGTCTTTCGTAGCACCAAAAAGAGGGTGAGGATGATCAGGGTGCAGGGAACTGGGTGGGATTAAGACCATCTGATGACTTCTTTTTTTTTCTGTGATATAAGATGCAAAACTAGATCCAAAAAAATGTAAGAACTAGAAATTTCAGGGGGGGAACAGAAAAAGTAAGAAACAGTTCTTGTTTGGGGGGCAAAGCAGCAGCTGGACCAGGGAAACACAACAGCTTGCCAAACTCAACAGATTAGAGATCAACTTAAGTGTCTCAAACTGACTTTGTGGAATTCTCCAGCTGCAATCACATTCCATACATGTGTGCCAGGTGCTAACACAGCCCACCTGATTTCAATAGGTGACTAATTAAAAAGGTGCCTAAGACACATAGGCGCTGGGTACAATGCTGCACACACCACGGTGTCCAGAACCCACCACCTGAGGGTGAGGCAGGAGCGTCACTCGAGCCTAGGAATTCAAGGTCAGGTGAGCAACAAAGAAAAGAAACAGAGAAAGGTGCTGTGGTGAAGGCTTGTTAAGCCCTGGCACTTGTGGACTCAAGCACTGGGAAGATAGAGACAGGAAAATCAGAAGTTCAAGGCCATCCTCAGATATATACCGAGTATGAAACCAGACACACACACACACAGACACACAGACACACAGACACACACACACACCCCTCAAAGCAAATGAAAAACAATGAACCAGGAGTGGTGGGTCAAGCCTGTAATCCTGCAACACTGAGTTTCAGGCAAGCTAGGCCTACATAGTAAGACTGGACGGGTTAATTAAATAGGCGAGGGGACTATGTCTCATGAAGAGTTTTCATTATTTGCTTTAATGGCAGACATTGTCATGTCTCCATAAGTTATATGCAAATACAAAAGAGTGACAATTACATTATGAACATGCATTACAATTATCTATATGTTTTTGTTTTCTGGCAAAAAGCTTGATTTCCACTGTGGATTAGGTGTGTTAAGGATGTTCTCTGAGCAGGAGCACGGGCCTGACTATAACATCAGTCATTTTCCAGCTGTGTGTGGTGGCGCATGCCCATTATCCAGCCCTCAGGAGGCAGAGGCAGGTGGGGTTTTGTGAGCTGAAGGCCAGCCTGGTCTGCACAGTGAGTGCCAGCTCACCCAGGGCCGAGTCTTGAGACCCCGTTTCAAACAACAACAACGAAGCCTGATTGCTGCATTTGATTCCATGCCAATCAGTGTGGAGATGCTACAGATTTGAAAGTGCACACAGGAGACCTGGGGAAGCTCTCAGGCCATTAGATTCAGAAAAAGTTTGTACCCCATGATCAAAGTGCTAAATCTTGTCTTCAAGGGGCTTCTAACCTAATACCGATTTAAAAAAAAAAAATCTAAAGAAACAAAGAGGAATGTGATAAATTGTTTTAAAACTCTAACAACAAAATTCTGTGAGATAGTGGGGGATCTTGCACTTGAGAGAAGCAGGCAGGAGGATTAGGAGTTCAAAGCCAACCTGAACTACCTGAAACCTTGTCTTTTTTTTTTTTTTTTTTTTTTTTTTTAAACCTTGGTTTTAAAAAAATAGTAACAAGGACCTGGAGAGAAGGCTCAGCAGCTAAGAGCACTGGCTGCTCTTCCAGAGGACTGGGGTTCAATCCCAGCACCCACATGGTGGCTCACAAATGTCTGTAACCCCAGTTCCAGGAGATCTAATACTACACATGCTCTCATCCTCTGAGCTATCTCTCCAGTCTCAGTATGTGACCAAAATGAATTAAAAAAAAAAAAAAAAACAACCCAGGGCTTGGGGATTTAATTCAGTGACACATCACTTAGGAAGTACAGGTCTGGCTCCTGGAGAGATGCTGGGGGGTCAAAGGAAACGAAGTGGGCTCGTAGCTCAGTTGAAGGTTTGCCTAACATGCTTAGGACCCTGGTTTCCATCCACTCCCCAACACCACACCCTCCCCTGCACACCTCCCCCCACCAAGATAAGAAAACTAAAAGGGATGGGAGGTGTGACACACAGCTGCTGTGTGAGGATCGCAGAAGCATTCTCTTCCCAGAGAAGCCCTAACTGAAGCGGAAGGGACCTACCAAAGGAGAGTTTCCGCGTGATGGGCAGTGGACACACCAGTTTGGAAAGGGAGTCCGTGCCAAAGGTGGAGTTAGATTTCAGCTAAATGCAAGAGGAAGAACGGGGTGAGGAAGATTGGGATCAGCACAGATGGGGGAAGGCAGTGAGTCAGAATACCACCGTTTTTATTGTTGTTTTGTTATCCTGAAAAGGGTCTCACTCTGTAGACCAGGCTGGCCTGGACCACACAGAAAGAGATCCAGCTGCCTCTCCTGCTTCAGTGGTGGGATTAAACGGATGCACCACCCCACCTGGCAGAATATTGTGCTTACTTGAAGAAGAAGAGAAAAGAGAGGATGAAAAGCACACTTTTATTTTGGGGTTGGATCTCAGGAAACTCAGGCTTCAGATCTTCCCGCCTCCAGCTCAGGAGTACTGGGGTTGTAGCTGTGGACTACCGCATCTGGTTTAGAAGCATATTTTAAATGCTAAGGGTGAGGAGAGTAATTTATTACTTATATTTTATATTTCTTTATTTTTTTTAAATCTATTTTGAGGCAGGGTCTCATGTACGCCAGGTTGGCCCTGATCTTCTTACCTCTATTGTCCAAGTACTGGTATTCCATATGTGGACCACCACAGTTGACTTAGAAGCACATTTTGAATGATAAGGAAGGTTAATGAGAATTATTTATTTAGTTATTTAATAGATAGGGTTTCACGTAGCCCAGGCTGGCCCTGGTCCTCTTACCTCCCAAGTGCTAGGATGAGAGGTGTGTGCCACCACACCTGGCTGACAAGACAGCGACTTAAAAATCTTTTCATAGCCACTGTCTCGGAGAAGTGAAAAGGGGCCATCGGGTGGGGGTGGGGCTTTGGCTTTTGATAGTCTTTATATTCTTAGAAACAAATCTTATGCATGTGTTGCGCTCGTCACCGAAAAGTCTGTATTAAAGGTGCGTGGTTACAGAGTGGATGCTTATCGGTAAAAACACTGAGATAGGGAGAGACGCTGGAAGAAGGAAGACAATGGACTCTTGCTCCCTGCCTGCCTCCATCCTCTCACACTCTCCTCAAAGCTTACACTTCCCTTTCTTGTCTTCCGACAGGCTAATTCACTTAGAGCAGCAGGTGATGTTGAAGTATTTCTGCGGGAAAACAATATATCTCAAGGAAATGTGCTGGACGTGGCACATTTCCTTGAGTCGGTTTGAAAGGCTAGCAGTCATGCTGAGGTCAGCAAGGAGCACAGTAGGAGCTGACAAGATCAACAGAATAAAGATAATGGGCATTCTATTACAGGAGCAGCTACAAGTCTCCACGCCAAGGGTTACTCTGCAACACACTGGAGTCAATTCGTTTGCCTCATCAACCTCTTTGCATTCTTCCTGGATCCTGAGTCAAATGACCACATGTGATTTCATCTAAAGCATGCAGAAAATGTGAAGAAATAAGGGAAGTTTCCATTCGGTATGGACTACCTGTCCAAGGAGGCTGTCTTTACCCAACTGTCAACATGTTTTGCTACAAGATGTATAGGAATTGTGACAGCTTAGGTCCCTCAGAATTGTCCTCAAATCAAAGATGGGACTTGCGATTAGTACTGGCTGAGCTGGACCTTGGGAAGTTATCGTAATGTTTATCTTACATAGGCTCTTATAATAATTACTGGATTCCAACAGGTGACGTTTGTGTACTTGATGTAGGGCTAGTGTAAACACTGAGGAAATGGATGCTGTAACATGAGCAGACTATAGATCCACCAGCTCTCTTTCAGAAAGGCCCTTGCTATTAGCAGGCTTACACTGGTTTTATTCAAATTTCCCTGTGGTTTGTAAACTTGGAGTCAGGGTCAAACTTTCCCTTAACTTTGGCAAGTCAAGCTTACTTATTTACTGCCCTGATTTTATAGTAGGGCATTTGTGCAGAAAGCCAAGATAAAGGCTGACCTACTAAGGACTTGTGTTTGTATTTTTTCGGGGCATCTTCTTTGTGTATACAGGAATTCTTTTGCTACTGTGAAAAGCCCCCTTTTGTCTTTGTTATTTATGGAGGAATGCTGAGGAAAATCTGCAACTCCTTCACTCCTCTCAAACACATTTTACTGCTGTCTTTCAAGGTGAGGCTGATCAACACACACCAAAGGACACTTTAACATATTAAACCCTTCCGAAGCCCATTTCAATCACTACTCATTAGCTTTGGAGGAGCCTCCTACTGTACTTTTCCAGGTTCCTCTACCAAACATACTTTTCATAACTTGGATAGTAAAGAGTAATATGTCACAGACATGTGCATGGAAACCTTGGCTTTCTGTCTCCTCCCCTGATAAATGTTTATTACTGACTTGCTCTTTCTTCGTTTCCTCTCTAAGGCTTTCACTGGGTTTGAAAAGCACGTATTAAACAATAGACATAGCAACCATTCTTTACACCAGATGAATAGACCCATAAAAGCTACAGTCTACAGACCAACTGAGTAAGCTAATTTAGCAAATGCCTGTGTGCCTTAACCAGCTGGGGCTACCTCTGTAGTAGTTCTTTTTGCTTCAGACGTACTTTAAATGAATGAAAAAGCTAAAATTAATTACAAATGGATGTCAAATTATCCTTCCTTCCTTCCTTCCTCCCTCCCTTCTGTCTTTCTTTCTTTTCTTCTTTCCTTCTTTCTTTCTTTCTTTCTTTCTTTCTTTCTTTCTTTCTTTCTTTCTTTCTTTCTTTCTTTCTTTCTGTGTGAAGTGACTTAAACTTGGGCAGCATTTGAGACTAGTTGAGCTGGTCGTGTTACTGGAGGTGTGCTGGAAAAGTCATTGGCCTCTTAGTGAGGGTGAAAACACAAAAGGCATGGAGCAAAATTGGACTCAGGACTCATTCTTAAAGATACAACCATCAAGACCAATTCTATGAATGAGGTTGGAAAGCTGTCTCCCTGTTGGTATTATTAAGTTGATTTTATACATTAAGCTTGAAGTCTTAAGGCTGCTCTGTCATTGCTAAGGGATTGGGTTAAAATATCCAAATGCTTTCAAGCCCACACTGATCCAAATAGGAAATGGGCTTGTTCTGGCCTGCACTTGGATCTTCCATGTTTTCTAAACAGATGTTTATGACACTTTTATGATTAAATTCCCCCAGTGCTCAATTGTCTGTAAAGTGTTAACATTTGCAAACACACATAATGGATTAGCCTTGTATAACCATTCAGACCCAGCAACCGTCAGTATCTTCCCCATTATCGATCCCATTTTCTTCCTTAACTATGAAAGCAATTTCCAAATGCCATGTCCTTTCATTCTCCCATGCATGACGCATCTCTTAAACTTTTGCATCACTGTAAGTCGTGATCCCATTACAAACTAGGACTAAAGGTATACAATTGCGTACAGTAAAACCATTTGTCCGGAAATACCTCAGGGGAAGGGCACCCGGGAATGGAGTGAAACACATCTCCTTCGGAAGCAGTTGTGTCTGTACGCTTTTCTTTTCTTGGGAAAATTAACTGAAGAAAAGAGAAATAAGAACAATTAAAAAAACAACATGGTATCTGGAGAACATGCAGCGTCTTCACAGCAAACTGCGCTGTAGTTATTTGTTCATCTGAGATTAAGCTGTACACAAATGACTGGGGTGCACACACACGGGCACATTCCTAATACCCCGCATTAGCTGTAAGACCTGAGTGGTGACATCCGCCTGCACATATTTCTTCCACAGCGTTCTCAGACGTCTCATCTTAGCTAGGGAATTAACGGCAGTTGTTGGACAAGAACGTTGTCCAGGATATTCTGTATTTTAGAAAACTAGAAATCCAATTTTTGTATTTTGGATTGAGTAATCATTGCTATAGGTAATTAAAAAAAAAGCAACAGCTAACTTGTAACTTTTTTTCTCATGTCTGTAAAGGGAATGACTTGGGGGAGGTGTCTTCATTTGATTAACCTCGGAGCAACCAGGGTTCTAATTAAAAAGCAGCGTCTGACTTTTCAGCCCAGGACACACCATCTTTCATCTAGTCAAGGAAGCATTTTTCATGTCTGTAGTGACAGCCTTGGGTGTGACCACTGTCATCTTCCTGTTGAAACTTACGTGTCAGAAAACTTACGACTGACACTGTCCTTGAAAAACATGAAAACACTTTGAGCGTACATACCTTTTACATTTTTTCCTTCATAAACTCCATAACGATCAAAAGCTGTCCTGTGTAGATATACAGCCAGAGACGGCAGCCAGTCGGCCAGTTTATCACCTCACGTCGCATCATGATTTGGCACAGCATTAACTCAATTCACATTGCCCTCCTCCAATCAACAACATGCATGCTCTCTTAATAAACTTACTTGGATCTTGCCTCTTACCTAAAAATCTAGGTTTACTAATAGACCAACATTCTCGGTTCTTTATACTTGTAAGGACAACATGCAATAGTTTAGAGAATGATTTTCTTAGAAAAATAATTGTAAGCTATATATCAATATTTTAAAATGCAGTTACTTAGGAAAAAATGCCCAAAGAGTATCCCCCCCACCACCACCACAAGATAACTAACGTAGTTCAGAAAGCCTCCTATTTCCCTCAGTACCATTAACTGCTGGTGTACCTAAATCATTTTCAGTATAAACATCACACTTAAAGACCTAGAAGTACAAACAGGCAAACAAACAAGTCACCCAGGCCAATTGTTTCAAAGACCTACCTGGCCTCTGTTCGATGATAAAAAGAAGACTCATTGCAAAAATAAAAAATACCAAAAAATAATGCTGAAATCTCATTTTTTTTCTTTTCACACACAAGTGAACAAAAGCTCTCCAAGTAAAGGAATCGTCTGTAAATAGTCTGCGCAGTATCTGTCCAGCTCACCCCGCATCCTACAGACAGACCTCAGAGGGCTGCCGGCTGCTTTTTCCAGAAAAGGTTAATGATCACATCAGACAAGGTTACAGGCGCACTGGGCTGTGGTCAGAGCTCCCAAGCCTCAAGCCCCTCCCCCATTCCTCTCTGCTTCTCCCCTGTCACTCCCCTTTATTTCCATAAGCAAATATTGGTGAAATGGACCATTCAGGCATGCAGGAACTTCAGTGGGAAGGCTCCTCCGCAGAGGCTCCAAGGAGGGTGACTCCAATCTGTTTATGAAGAAAAATGTAAAAGGAGGCATGGCCTGCCTCCTCTCCTCTCCATTTGCATCTGTTTAAACTTTGCATTGCCCATATTGGTCCCACATGCAGAAACCAGTGGAAAGGGCAGGAAGTTTCTCTTTTGTCCTCTTGCAGAAGGAATGCTGGAGCTCTAACTTAAGATTCCCAAACGCTTGATGCCAACTGTGTTGGAGTGCTTTCTCTTTGCCAAACCTACTACAAAGTAGTGCCTATTTATATTAAATCTCCAAATGGCTTAATTTGTGTGGGTTTCTATCATCAGAGGTTCCTGGAGTTTAGAAAGTTCAGAAGGAAATCTGCAAAATGTTTATCTTTTTATTTAAGTGCAATTTAAAAAGTAATGGAGATCATTTTCATCTGCAAACATCTAAGAGTTTTCAAAAGAAGCCCAGGCGAGGTGCAGACACAAAACCCGTGCTCTGCTGTAAATTTGCGTGTGGTGGAGTGTCAGGTAACCACAGGCACACAGACCACATTACAGATGGAGAGAGAATTTTCTAGTTCATCTCCAAAGAAACGAAAGGAGTCTAGTTTTGTCTTGTACACATACCCAGATCTGTTTACAGGCTTTCTTACCTGTAATAAAATGCTGTTATATGTGAGAATTATCGTAATTTTTCTAAGCCAGAAGGACACGTAGTTATACTCTGAAATATAAGTAGACCCAAGATATCAAACCTCAAGCGCACATGAGTGGTTGTGAACTGTCAGAAACTGTGCTAGAGTCGGCGTCTTCAGAGTCAGGTGATGGGCACATACAAACTTAGGCTTCTTAAGGTTTGAAACTCATGCACAATCGGTTTTGATTTTACAAATCAACCTGTAAAATTCCACATCTGCCTAGTTGTGCATTGCGGTTTGTAGAGAATGTTTTTAAAAATTATTTAAAACATTTCAAAAGATCATTTCAGGCCAACTGTGATGGCACAGACCTTTAATCCCAACACGCAGGAGGCAGAGGCAGGCATATCTTTGTGAGTTCCAGGCCAGCCTGGTCTACATACTGAGTTCCAGTACAGCCAGGGCTACATAGCAGAGAGACCATGTCTCAAAAATAAATAAATAATAAAAACTTATTTGGTATGTATGGGTGTTTTGCTTGCATGTATGTCCGTGTACCATGTACATGCAGTGCCCACAGAGGCCAGAAGGGGGCATCAGGTCTCCTGGAGCTGGAGTTACAGACAGTAGTGAGTACTGGAATGAACCCAGGTCATCTGTTAGAGCAGGTCCTGCTCTTAACTGCTGAGCCATCTCTCCAGACCTGTTTTATGTTTTTGTTTTGTTTTGTTTTTTTTAAGAATTTTTAATCCAGAAATGGTGGTAGTGTATGCCTTTAGTCCCAGCATTCAGGAAGCAGAGGAAGGTGGATCTGAGTTCGAGGCCAGCCTCTTCTATAGAGTAAATTTCTATTTGTGAAGTTATAAAGGTTTGGTGGAGGAATATATTAAATTCATGGGATGTTAAATATTCACTTATATAGTTTAAATAATTTTCGAAAAAATTGTGATGCTAGGTGGTGGTGGCAGCACATGCCTTTAATCCAACACTTGGGAGACAGAGGCACTCAGATCTCTGAGTTCAAGGCTAGCTTGATCTACAGAGCAAGTTCCAGGACAGCCAGGGTTACACAGAGAAACCCTGTCTCAAAAAAAACAAAAAAAAAAAAAAAAAAAGAAAAGAAAAAATCACGTATCACCACGCCTGCCTTCAACAGTTATTTTTACAAGTACAATAACTAATGATTACAGAGTTGATGGCACTGAGGAACAATGTCATGTGACTGGTGGTTTTGTGACTGTGAGGCAGCAGTCATGGTCGATCATTCATCATGGCACTGAATAACCAGGTGTGGAGACATCTTGGCAAGAAAGCGGAGTCAGAATGATACAAGTGTCTATGCCAAGAGTACCCATCATGCAGCTGTGTGAGATGATGACTCTTCCACACTAGGGCCCACAGAGGTTCACCTCTGACAGGCAAGCCCAAAGCAGCATCCCCTTTAAGCCAGGTACCATGCTAAGCATATGTCATGCATTACGTCACAGCATCCACCCCAGACCCTGAAGTATTACTCCATCCATCTGCTTGCTCGATGAAGGAATTGATAGCTAAGGAAGAGGAGTCGGTAGGGTACCATCCCATCATCTGAGCTCTAGTTTCCTCTTTAAGGTACAAATTCTCATTCCTATTTTCAAGGTAGTTTACCAAAGCCAGCATAAAAATAAGGGCATTTCTGGGCGTGGTGGGGGCATACTTTTATTTATTTATTTATTTATTTTTAAATTTTTATTTTATTATGTATACAGTGTTCTGCCTGCAGTCCAGAAGAGGGCACCAGATCTCATTACAGACGGTTGTGAGCCACCATGTGGTTGCTGGGAATTGAACTCAGGACCTGTGAAAGAGCAGCCAGTGCTCTTAACCTCTGAGCCATCTCTCCAGCCCCGGGGGGCATACTTTTAATCCCAGCACTCAGGAGGGAGAAAGAGTTCAAGGCCATTCGGAGCGACATAGAAGTTCTGGGCCATATTGTCTTCTTAATTTTTATCTACCCAGAGCTTTGTGCAGCTCTGGTCCTTCGTCAGAGAATATCAAAGCTTCCTTTGCCATGGACTATGGTAGTTAGTACAGAGTCACCACTAGCCAAAGTGCAGAGAATAAGACTATGGTGTGCTGGGCCCTAAATGGCCACGTGTATCACCCCTAACCCCAAGACTCAGGGAATATGGTACAAGAGGACTGGAAAGAATGTAAGAGCCAGAGGTCGGGGGAGGGGTGGGCTGCAAAATAGTGTCTTCTGGACTTAACATGGCGGGTGAGCTCATGGACTCACTGCAACTGTGGTTGCCTGCCCGCCCAAGACCTACAAAAGATGGCATCCATCAACATTTCATCATGGAAGTGGGAAGGGCTCTTGGGGTCCCAGTCCTCCCTGAGGGACCATTGGCAGTTAATGGTGGCTGGGGAAAGGGGTGTCACTTTTCCTCAGTGGTATAGCCACTTAGAAGTTGTCCATGCTCCAGCAAATAACCCCTGACCCATCTCCCACCGCAACCCTAGTGAAACTCACCAGTCACACACAAAAGCACAAAAGCGGGGTTGCGGGGGATGGGCAGGCAGGGCACTTGTTGAGACGAAATGTTTCCATTGGAGAAGGAGGGGGTAGGACTAAAATTCATTATATACTTGTATGACAACATCAAAGAGTACTTTTTCCCTTTCTTTTGTTTGGTTTCTTTTTGTTGTTGTTTTAAGAGACAGGGTTTCTTTGGTATCCTTGGCTGTCCTAGAACTAGCTCTGTAGACCAGCCTGACCTCGAACTCACAAAGATCTGCCTGCTTCTGCCTCCAGAGTGCTGGGATTGAAGGCGTGCACCATTACTGCCCAGCTAAAGTGTACTTTTTAAAAAGATATGTTAGCGACGTATTTCTTGAACAAAGTTAGTAGAGTCCCTTCAAAATTAGTGTCAATCTGGAACTCAGAGTGTGGTGGTTTGAATAGAAATGGCCCCCATGGACTCATGTGTTTGAATGCTTGGTCATCAGGGAGTGGCACTATTAGGAGATGTGGCTTTATTGGAGGAAGTGTGTACCTGGAGGTAGGCTTTGAGGTTTCTAATGCTCAAGCCAGGCCCAATGTCTGTCTCGTCCTGCTGCCAGCCTATCAGGATGTAGAACTGTTAGCTCCTTCTCCAGGATCATGTCTGCTTGTGTACCGCCATGCTTCCTGCCATGATGACAATGGATGAAACCTCTGAACCTGGAAACCAGCCCCAATTAATTGTTTTCCTTATAAGGGTTCCCATGGTCATGGTGTCTCTTCACAGTAATAGAACCTTAACTAGGACACAGAGTGTGACCCTATTTGGAAACGGAGTCATTGCTTGTTTTGGTGGTATTGGGGATTGAACCTAGGGCCTTGTGGTTGTTAGGCAATTGATCTACCACTTAGCTATATCCCCATTGGGTCTTTGCAAGTATAATTATCATTGAGGCTCTACTGTAATGGGGTGACTCCTAAATCCAATATGATATCTGTCCTGTAGGGAGGAGAGGGTAGTCAGATGTATAGGCGTATGCCTTTAATCCATCACTTAGGAGGCAGAGGCAAGAAGATCTCTGTGAGCTTGAGGCCAGTCTGGTGGTCATAATGAGTTCCAGGACAACTAGGGCTACATAGTGTTGTGGAAAATTCTGCAGCTTGAAGAAACAGTTGGAGGGAAAGGGGGAAGAAGAGGAGGAAGAGGAGGAGGAGGAGGCAGCACTCAATGATAAACAGGGGGAACACCAGGAACAGAGGTAGAAATCAAAGCTGGGTATATTGTTGGCTCACGCTGTAATCCCAGCACCTGGGAGACAGAGGCAGGAGGATCATGAGTTCAAAAACAGCTTCTGCTGCACTGTGAGTTAAAGGCCAGACTGGGCTACATTAGTGTATATTTCAGAACAAAGCACCAGATGAGATCCAAACCTGCTGCCACAAACCAAGACAAGAGCGCCAAAGATGCCTGGAGAGAAGTGGAGCAGCTCCATTGTTTAAGACCTGACCCCCATCCCCGCAAAAATCAGTTCTACTAACCTTGACTTTTGGACTTTTGGTCTCTTGAACTACAACAAAAAGTAATTTCTGTAGTTTTAAGCCACCGGCTTTGTGATCCTTGTTATATCAATCCTAGAAACCTATAAAATCCAATGTACACATATCTCCTATCTATCTGCGAAGTCTCTGTATAATTTGTTTGTAATTGTCTTTATTTTCTAGATAGGCTCTCATTGCGTAGCCCAGGCTAGTCTTCAGCTTGCCCTTGTCCTGCCTCAGTCTTTGAATGCTGGGATCACAGATCTACTCCACCACGGTAACCTAGCTTCTGTTTAACTTAATGAAA